TGAATGCACAACAGTACAACCCGACAGTTGGAAAGTTCGCCCACCGCCTCCTTAGCTTAGTGGTAGAGCGTCAGTCTTGTAAACAAGGTCGTGGCAAGCTAAGGGTATCCACCGAAAAGAGGTTCGTCTTTGGAGACGGACCCGTGGCCGAATGGAGCACGAAGCGCGAAAGATAGAACTTACGTGTTGTCATGTACCCGACAGTTGGAAAGTTCGCCCACCGCCTCCTTAGCTTAGTGGTAGAGCGTCAGTCTTGTAAACTGAAGGTCGTGGGTTCGATTCCCATAGGTGGCTATTGTAGGTGTAGGCTCAAGTGTTTTTTATTCCAACCTTTTGCTTTATATACGCGAGGTGTTTCTTGTTTGCCGAGTAAATGCATGTGAGCTTTAAGAAAGGGGGGTCTGAGTGCATGTGTACACAGATCAGTTCGATACTTAACCTTCAGTGGCCTCAGGGATTCCGTCGTTAGCAGATGATGGGACTCCCTAGGCTGTAAAGCAAACGAAGACATTTTCAGTCCATCGTTTGTTTTCGGGTGTTCGGAAGATTCACATACTCAGAAGAGAATATGCGAAGACACCTTTTGCTCGTGGGAACCTCCGGCTAGGCGGTGCAGCGAGGCAGCCTTTGTGAGGCCCCGTTCATCACTGTGTGCTTGTTTCTCTTATTTAATGGGCCTTTTTCGAACTCTTATTCTTGGCTTGCTTCTTTGTAGAGGATTTCTGTCCCCTGCATGCACAGGGTCTGACATACCTGTGGCTGCGTCGGCCGACAGCACTGTCCCGGAGCGATTGTAGGGCCGCCGGGCCAACACATGGCATCTTCCTTTCCGAGTCACTGGCATTACAATCATCTCATCCGACAACCCTAATACGGTATGATGGACGCGGAGGGCGCCGCTGGGACGGCGCCTGGGCTGCCTCAAGTAGCACGGACAGGAAACGTTGCAGCTGCAGCTTCAACTCTTAACAGTATGGTTCGCGAATCTAACGGAACACCTCCCTCATATACAGAGGATGGGGTTGTGGAGATGGTGTGCCTCCTCAACTCCCCCGCCTCCGCCAAAGACCCCGGAGCCTCAGCAACCGCAGCAAACGAATACCTAACGAATTTCCAGAAGGATCCTAGCGCATGGGGCATTTGCATATCCATTCTGAATAAGCGTAGTCATCGCCAGCAGCAGCAGCAACAGGTTTCATCAGCAACTCAGTCCCCCGAAGTCCTGCACTTCGTTGCACAGACCCTGGCTGCGCAGGCGCGGGCGGGTTTCCCACAGCAGCTGTCTGCACTCTTGAGGGTACAGGGCGTCTCAGTTGTTCCAGCCTCTGCTTCCATTGTTAGCTCATTGGGGGCTGCATCGCAGGTGTATGCCGAGCTACGGGACGGCTTGTTGCAGCTAGTGTTTGCTTTCAGAGATGCTCCTTTGCCAGTCCTGCGGCAATTGTGCATTGCGCTGTCTTCGGCGCTAATATTTGGCACGTCTTCCACGGAAGGGTCTTCCTCTGGACCTGCCGCAGTTGGAGATGGAGGCCCTCATCTGGGCTCCGTTCTGCACACCCTTGGCCAGAAAGCTGGCAAAGAGGGCTTCTTGCCTCTGCTAGAGTTGCTCGTGTTATTTCCTGAAGAGTTGTGCACCAAACGGTAAGTACGAAGGTCGAATGTATGTCCTATGATCTAGTGAGCTAGGTGTAGTAGTGAGCGTTAGGTTGTATGCTTTACGGTCTCTCTCCGTTCCTAGATACTGTACGTGTGTCTTAGGATTGCCCTGCCGGAGGACCGGCGGCTCCCATGTCTAGCCAGCTGCATGAGCAACAACTGCACGCAGGTTCTGGAGGCCGTAGAAGGGATATTTGCGCAGGCGCAGGCAACCCTTGCTGCAGCGGGACCCGAAGAGAGGCCTCACTGGCGAGCCGTGCTGCATGCAGGTCAGGCCTTGGCTTTTTCTCCTCCCCACAGTGGGGGGAACAGTAGTGTAGAGCTTCTGGCTGGACCCCAACGTGTTATCGGAAATGTCCAGCAGTAATAATACGTGCTTCTATTGGATTCATCACTCGTCGATGCTTTTTTGCCGCTGACTCATGCGTGCTTCACCTGCTGATGAAAGTGTGCGGGTTTGCTGCTGCGTCTCAGCTGTCCGTACAGTGCAGTCATGGCTCTCAGCGATTTGCTGCTGGGTGCAGCAGGTTGATACGGAACAAGGCAGCCAGCACCTGCCGCAGCAGCAGCAGCAAGGGCCTTGGGGCCTGTCTGCTGCCTTGGAAGCATTGTCTCTGTGCCTCCAGCGTTTGTCTGGGGGGAGGATTTTTTCTGCTCTATTGTGCGGAACGAACTCTGATGATCTAGAGACTCTTCAGCTGTCTACAGAATGTGTAGTGGCAATCATTGCTTCTGCTTCGTTGCTGGAGGAGTCAACAGCAGCAGCTGCTGTAGCTAAGAAAGGAAAAGAAGCTGGCGCTAGCGAGTGCTCCACTAAACCCCACAATCCTACCGAGGCAGCTGAAGGCAGGGGGACCGTTTGTCGGTCGCTTGTTGCTGCGATCGTCAAGGCCTACGGCGACGGCTGCACTGCGGCACTGGCTGCAGCAAGAGGAGTAAGAGGGCATTATCGTTTGGGCTGCACAAGACACTACCCCTGTGCAAGTGCCGCTGTAGAAGCAGAGTCTCTAGTGGGTACAGCTTTCCCTGGTAGGACCTACCTATGGAAGATAGTCCGTTGCTGTCCACACTGTCTGAAATGCGATGCGAGGGTGGGCTGCTGTTGTGTTGTGCGTTGCAGCAAGCGCGGGGCATTGCCGCGTTCGACCTGGAGCGGCTACAGGTATTTGCGTTGGGTCTTACTGAGCTGGCAAAGGTGCAGATTCCGCGGCTGTTGATGGATTTGGCGAAGGAGGAGGTGAGGCTTGAAGAAGGTGAGGCGGGCATTAGCGGAGGAGAGGCAAATGGCGCCGTAGCCCTTGCCCTGCAGCCTGCAATAGAGGCGATCTGCGAGCTACCCCGAGCCCTGTTGCAGCATCCCTCCTACGAGGTGAAGGAAGTGGGCGTGGTTTTCTACCGCAACCTACTCAACCACGTAGTGGTCCTTGTCGAGGAGGAAAGGCGTCTCAGCGCATGGCGGGACCACCTACGCAACGAAGCAGCAGTTGTGGCAGCAGGGGCTGCAGGCGGAAGCGCCGGCTCTGCTGCAGCACAAGCTGCGGGAGTCAGGAAAGACTCGGCGGAAGTTCTCGCTGAAGTGGAAAGTCGTTACGAACTCAGCATTGAAGTCCTGGCCCTCCAAGAGCCGGTTTTGTCCCGCATATTTCAGCCCTTCGCAGTGGCAGCAGTGCCGCAGCTGAGGCCCCCCGTGGGGGCCCTCTTGAATGAGGAACTCGAGTTCGAGGCCTGGCAGAGCTTCCGCGCTGAAGTTGCAGCCACCGTTACAGAAGCCGCCGTATTGCTCGACATAGATCGCCCTTGCAACGAAAGTGCAGGGCAACTCCTCATGCTGCTGAGCGACCCCGAGGTAGGCTGGCGTGGCTTCTCTGCCAAACCTGCACTCTCAGGTTGTTTGTCTCCGTGTTTCTTGGGATGCGTTTGCCTCTTGCTCTTTGATTGGAGTGCGCTTTGCGGGCGCGTTTGCTCCTGTCTCCTTGTAGAGCCTCTTATTTGTGCTTGGGGCCTCCTCGTTCCGCAGATATGTACACACCCGGAAGCCCTGCTGGAGGTGGAGGCCCGCCTGTACTTCATCTCTGCAATTGCCAACCGCATACGGCTGAATGTGCCCTTCGGAGGCACAGAGGGAGAGAGCAGCAGCAACAGCGCCAATTCAGCTTCATCAAGTGCAGAATCCCGTAACGATGATTTCTTGCTGCACCTGCTGCAGCTGCTGCCGCAGCTCGCAGGCCTGGCACCGTCTAGCGCTGCCTCCGTCCCCGTTGTGGGAATTACAGAGCGGGAGGCCCTAACGCTCTTTTTGCTCGCAGGAGCAGCCCGAGCCACCTCGTGGCTTGCTGGGCGTGTGCTGCCGCAGCACCAGGAGCTATTTGCTCCTCTCTTCTCTCTCCTCCTTACACGCGCGCTGCAGTTCGTAGCATCCCTGCCGGTGCGTCTTATCTCGCCTCCCCTCAGAGACTGCCTTCTTTACTCCAGCGTGCCTGTCCCCCTTTATCCGGAAAACACACTGCACGCTTCTTCACTGCACCAGTGTTTTGTTGGCGTACACCATGGTGCCTGAGGCTCCAGGCGAGGAGCCAGAGGAGGTCCTTGGCGAGATTTGTCTCCTAGGGGACTATATGCTGCAGCACCAATAGGCTGCTGTGAACAACCAGATAATGCTCTCCTTCACCCAGGGTTGCAGGGGTGCTCATGCAGCTTTGCCTACTGTGTTGCTGTGTTGGTGCGCTCTGCAGGAAGCAGCTAAGGACTCGAATGCTTCTCTGTTGCGCCTCTCTACTGAGGCCTTGCTCGTTGAGGGTCTCTCTTCTCTTGTTTCTGCAGCTGCGGGTTTCATCCCGTCGCCAGGCCGGGAAGAGGATGTCCATGCGCTTCTCCACGCTCTCATAGATGCATTCTCCAGGTACCCATCACTGGCTCTTAGCTAGCTAGGCTAACCACACCCACAGGCTCTCCCACTTGTGCAACTTGTTGTGCAGCGGCACGGCTGGATGGTTACGCAGCTGTCTGGGTAGTTCGTTTGTTGAGGCAACTAGCGCGCATATTGGGTCCGTCTCTCGTTGACCCACTACTTTCCCTAGAGGCAAGGTACTTGGATAACAATGTTGGTTTGTTGTAAAGAAGCGGTGGATTTGGGCATGTTGTCATCAGGCCAGGACTGAGTCTGGATAACAGCTCCTCCCTGGTGCACACAGCTGGATACGTCATCTCCTGTCTGGATGCACCGCGCATTCGCCAGCTCTTTGCGCAGCTACTCCAAGTAGGTGAACTCGAAAGGGGATTTTTGTCATTATGTGCCGGGCCGTTGTCTTTTCTCGTTGGCTTCATTTCCCTGTCAGGGCCTTTTGTCTACCGTTCTATCCTTCTGCCCGCCTCTTTCCGTGTCTCTGTCTGCCTCTCTGTTCCGTTCCTGGGCATTTGCCTCTCGAGGCGGCTGCACTTCTGCAAGCCCATGGGTAGTTCGTTGTGGATTGACTGTGTTCTTGGCCGTCTGCGCACATGCAGTCCACTGAGTTGTTTGGGGTTGCACTGCTGCTCATGCGTGCGTGCGTGCAGTCGCTAGGGAACGAGTTAGACCGGTCACTGTCCGACCCTCAATGCCCCAGCAGCACCACCAAGCGGAATCTTGGGTTGTTTTTCTCGGCACTGCAGTCGGTGCAGCCTGCTGAAGACTTCGCGCCTCCCCCGCCTTCCCAGTTCTTCGAACCCTTGAGTCGTGAGTGGAAGGCCACAGCTGGCACCCTCACAACTCCCCGGGCTTTTGCGGAGACTTCAGGGAGAAAGCGGCACCTACTCACGAGCAAACCCCCCAAGGGACCCTGTCTTACCGTCCCTGGTTTCACCAGATGGCGTGCATAGCAAGACACGAGCAGCAGCCGCCTGCTAGCTACCTCCACAGCCAGCTAGCTCGCTAACCATCGAGATGCATTGTGATGAATCCCCTGTCGGCCCTGTTGAAGGTAGAGATATATATAGAGTGGAAGAGACGTACAGGGAGAGTGAATGTACGTGTGTTGGAGAGAAGTGGATAGAGAGAAAAGCTGGGTGGTGCGGCTGCGCGCAGCGCGGAGTCCATATCGACACCCCGTCTTGGACGCGGTGGAGGCGAGCTGGCCCACGATCGAGAAGGCCATGACACGAGGCCCCAGGAACGAGTTTCTGTACGAAGTGTCCTGCTACTCCTTGGTGGCTCTCTGCGCAAACTGCAGGGCCCACATCCCTCGCTATCGGTAGGTGCTGTCGAGTGCTGCTGTGGCTGTCCTGCCTTTATGGGTGCCAGTGAGGCAGACTCTACTATAGTTGAGACTTTGTTTGAAGCTGATTATTCCTGTCGAAGTTCTTGTGTTTGGGGTAACAGTGCATCTTTACCTTGATTTCGCCTGCGGCACTTCACTAGAGTGTGCTTTGGATTCGGTGGATTCCCTGTGTGCGTGAGTGTACGCGGTTGAATCCATCTGTGAAGCCTAGGTGGAGCATAGAGCGGGTTGTTTGTCGCTCTTGCTCACCGCTGTGTCGTTGATTCTGTTCGTGTCTATTGTTGGGGGCTGCTGCTGCGTTTCAGGGTGTTCTATTCCTTCTTGCATGCGCTTAGTTGCACATTTGCCGATTGCCCAACAGTCTACCATTTAGGCGCCCTGCGTTCCATCCAAGGCATCTGCTCCAACGCCCAAGAAGCCTGCGTTCGCCAGGCTGTCGCTGTTGCGCTCGAAAATTGCGTCGCTGCCACGCTAGGCAAAATCAAGGTCAGCGCATGCAATGCAGGCGGCTGTCTCTTTGATTCTGAAACGAATATCTCCTGTATCCTAAAGAGGCATGGTATTACTGCGGAACGCAGACGTCCTCTGTAGTGGTTTGCGCTACAAGAACGGACACTGCTACAGGGAGCAGAGGCATAAACAGGCAGAGGAAGCATTTTTTCTGTCATAGTTTTCAGGAGTGTTTGAGGCTTTGTCCCGTGGATAGGGTCGCACCTGCTAGGCTGTTATACATGGCTCTTTTCGAGTGGAGTTGGCCGTGTCCCCTGCCGCATCCTTGCTTGTATCACCCCTTAACGGACCAGTGTGGGGCTTATGCGGTGCATTTGATTGTCGCTGACGCGCCTCATACGTGTTCTGCTGCTTTGTGTTTCCGTTTGTTTGGCGTTTGCGTGCTTGATGTCCCGTTTTTGCAGTGATGCTGTGTGCATGCGACCAGGCGGAGGGAGAGAAGTACATGTATGGCCAGCCCGACATCGTGGGGATTTCGGTGGACTGCGTAAATGTTGCATTGCTGCATCCTTTAAGCGCGGAAGCGATTGTGGCTTCTCCCTGGTTTGAGGCCCTTTGTGAAACTGCCATTCAATACACGCCGACCTGCCACCACCCGAAGGTGAACCTCACCAGGATAGGTTCAGCATAGCTCAACGCCGATGCACCTCTGGGATCATGCAGCCAGAGGCAATCATGCATACAACCCAAGACATGCATACATTCTGGGTCACGGGGCCATGGAAAGACTGGCATGTCACTCGATGATGCATGCATGCACCATTGACCCAGAGACGGCTACCTCCACCCCTGGTGTTCCATTTTGTTGTTGCTGTAGGTCCTCCACACCTACATTGTCTTCCTCTCTCGCCTTGCCGCATGGGTCGACCCTCCCTCAATTCTGCATTGTTATCAAATCGGTAAGCGCCTAACCACTGCACCACTGCAACAGAGGGAAGTTTGTGGAAGGCGGAGGCAGCATCCCTTGCCTACGTGGAAGCGCTTGAGGACTCTGCATGTACCACGAGACCACCATACACAACAACGCGCAGCCTTTGCATGCACTGCAAGTCTACACTTACAGGGCTTCCTTTCTGTAGAAGGCGCAGGTTCATATTCACGGGAAGACAGACTAACAATTATACAGTTGGTTGGGTCTGCATCTCCGTGCTCTGCTGGGATTGGTTTGCACGAACACCCTAGTGTGCCAGTGTACCCGACCTGCAGGCATCTGTCTGGCAGTGTATCGCTTCTGGCGAGTGTGGGGTTGTTCTGCAGGGGAGCCGATCCCGTGGCTGACAAAGGTGGCAGAAGATGCATCATCAACCGTCTTGTCTCTCCTTAGCAAACCCTTCCCCGGATGTCCCTCCCCAGGAGTGGAGCTGGATCAGCAGCAAAGCACCTTCCTTTCGAGAGCTGTTGCTGCAGTCCTGATTGCACTCACCAGCGTGCATGCAGCCCCCCAGTCGTGGATTGGCAGTGCTGCACAGACGCTGCTGCCGCTCCTGAGACACCCTGGTCTACAGACACCCACCAAGAAGGCCATTGAGTTAACCTTGCAGGTCCACTCAAGACACGCCTCTTGTTGCCACTGCTGCTGTGCATATATGTACCTCATATATATCATGTATTTTATAGGTGTGCATGCATGCTTTCCAATTCGTATGCACGTACCTATATTTGCAGATAACATGTAAATGCGGTTGAGTGCGTCTGTCCGCATTTCGTGGCCGCAGGCATTGGATAATCACATAATGGACGAGCAACGGAAGCGGGACTTTTGTATTCGGTGTACGGGCCTCTTGTCTGTGCGGGAGATGTGCCTCCTGCTGCAGCAGACGGCTGATGACACCAAGGCCGCGTACGTCCGCAGCCAGTTTGCTCTCGGCGGGGCCTCCAGATCTGTGTAGAATCCCCTCAACCTCAGGCGGTTCAAAGTCTTGGCAGCGGGAGGCACGCATGCATTTCAAACATCCAACCAAATAAGTGGCTGCTGGTGGTGCATTGCTGCTGTTGCTGCAGCCGATGGTGAGGCAGCGGAAATATCTTCTGCAGGAACAGCTGCTTTTTTGGCGAAGGCAGCCACAGTAACACAGAACAGTTGCTACGGGAGCATAAGCTCTGCAGTACAAACCGAGCAGCCTGCTGCTGCGCGAAGGTCTGTAGAGCTTCTGCGGTGGTGCTTCGGCTGCGGCTGATGGTTTTGGAGATGTTCGTGTTTGCGTTATTTCTTGTACGTTTTTACCTCATTGGGTATACCTGATGAAAACGTGTTCTATTCAGCAATCCGTGAGCGTCCCTCCCCGCCTGGCCGAGGCCATCTGAGCTTATAGGATTGAAGTGCGGGACTCAAACAAAAGAGCCTCCGCTGTATGCACACCCCAGAAGGGGGTGGACGGCTGTCAGCTGATAAGTGCCGTCTCCCTTTGTGCTTTCTACTTTCCTAACCCTCCTCATTTGCACAAGGACCACTAAGCTGGGTTTAATACATATGTTGTCTGCGACGAGCAACCACGACTTGCCGCTTGAACGGTCGGCTGTCTTGGTGGGAGATACCCAGCCACTCCCCACAAGCAAGCGAGCCCTACTAGTTCCAGATAGCTAAGGCCAGAGGCCGAAGCAACAGCGGCGGATAGGAACTATGTGATAAGCACCAGCTAGTTAGCTACGGCAGCATACCGCTAGCTAGGGGAGCACCGTCTAGCTCACTGCTATCTAACTAGCTGTAGGCAGCTCTCTAGTAGTTCCCGTGCCTAGCGGACTCACAAAACAGCTAAACCAGTGTAGAAGGCCTCGATACCTCCCTAACAGTGTATACCAAAGAACGAAGACACCTTCGCACAGAATGTCAGTCTTGCCGTCTGTCGCCTGTCTGTCTGGGAGCCTCTGGGCTGCACAGAAGCAAGGTGAGGAGCAGCAGCGCCAGCATTACTGCTGCTGCATGGAATATTTCTGCTGTTGTGTTGTGCTGGTAGCAGAAACACCCGTGACCCCTGCGGCAGCTGCGTTAGCCTGAGAGCTAGCCAGGTATTGCTGCTGGTAGTGGTGCATATAGAGCTGCGGCATCAGGGCAGCAGTGATCTGCTGCATGTAAGGGTTGGTTGCTGCTGCTGCTGCAGCCGTTGTCGACGGAAGTGCAGCAGCAGCAGCAGCGGCAGCAGCAGCGGAGTTGACGGTAGCTTGAGTTCCGTAGGGACTGGACACCTCTGCTCGCGTTCCCGAAGCTGTTGTGGAAGAAGTGATGGGCCACTGTGAGGCAGCAGCCTGTTGCAGCAACTGCTGCTGCAGCTGCTGCTGAAGTTGCTGTTGGTATTGGGCACCTCCCAAAGGCAGCTGCTGCAGGTGCTGTGGTGGCAGGATCGATCCGCCGAGCTGCTGCTGCTTTCTGGACTCTGACGCAACCGACACAAAGGTAACTTGTCCTGCAAGCCAAAACCAACACACGTGCAAGGAGCCACACATGTACGTACTGTCCCACAAAACCAGCGACCGCAGCGGGGTTCCCCTGCCTCCCGTGATCTTCCACAATGAGGGCAGTATCAGCAGCCCCCCTCGAACAACAGCAGCACCTGCAGCAACTGCAGCAGCGAGCAGCAGTAATATGTGCATACCATCAATGACTCTCTGTGCCTGGTTTGCTGCCTTCATGAGGGCCTCGGGGTCTTCAAATACAACAAAACCGTATCCCTTAGAAGATCCATCTCTGTTGCGGACTATCGCGGCCTCCCGCACTGTACCGAAGCCCTCGAACTCCTGCTTAAGGCGGCGCTCGTCGCAGGTGTCGGGTACATTGCGCACGAAGAGGCGGCATCCCTGGTTGGGTCCTAAGAAGGCACCTGCAACGCATGCAGTAAAATGTTAGTTAATTACATGGACAATGCTAAGGCTCACTATTTACTTCTACTGCTGCGTATACACATGATAGTGGAGGTGAGAGAGTGCTGCTGCTGCTGCTGCTGCTTGTCGTGGTGGTGGTACACAACAAAAAATAAGCAACACTCGAGCAGCGGGTAAAATTGACAGTGCAGCAAGCTAAGAGAACAACATAGACACTGCACCAAATAAAATACATGCATGCAAGCTTCTCTCCACTTACGCTTCATTGCTGCTCCCTGGTCCTGCTGTGAGGCCAACTTAATGCTAAGAGGGCGGCCGTCAATCGTCACCTCCGACTGCAGCACCTTAGCCACGTCGCTCATGGATTTATATGTCACAAAGGCGAAACCCTTATTCAGCCCTGGAGGCAAAAAAAAAAACCGCATGCATATATTCAAACACTAAACCCTAAACCCTAAAACAGAGGTATTAGAACTAACTATATAATACCCTACGCTAGACACCCTCCTTAATCCTTAACAATTAACACTCCTGAACATCCTACTAACAAATAACAAGGGAGGAGGGGGAATATAAGTAACCACCAAATATAAGCAGTAGTGCTACAACCCCACCTAAACCCTCGTGACACTAGAGGGCAGCAACAAAACAACTCCCTACATGAATATACACCTGAGGAGCAGCAAACCGCCGCCCCCCTCCCCCACCCCCTTCCCC